ACCGGACTGTTTTTGATTGCAAATAACTTTTGATAGAAAGAAGAATAGAGAATTACAGTTTTCACCTATTGAAAAGAGAAGACTTAGGAATGTCGAACAATATTAGAAACACAGTATTCATAATTTTTTAAAATGTTTTTGAAAAAAACTAAGATTAAACAAATTGGTGTACTCAACATTTAAAATGCGATGATAACTTCGAAAACCCTTCTAAAAATGTTTTTGAATACTATAATTCTTATATGATTCAATGCCTGCAAGTCTTCTCTTTTCAACATTGAAGACTGCAGCTCTCTTTCTTGTTTCTTTCAAAAGTTATTCACATCAAATATTGCCCGGTGACTTTTGAACCGTCCTGCATATGTATAGACTGTAACAATGTGATTAAGTAAACTAGAAGTCACTGTTAAACAAGACTTTAATATTATTCGATAAACAACCAACCTCAGATCTGGTGTGTATTCAGGAAATGGTAATCTAAAAACAAAAACTATTTGATCAAGTGTATCATTTAAAAAAAAAACTAGAAACTAACTCTTTTACTGGCATTGTGCCCGATGAACCAATATATATTTTAGCCATAAGAATGCTTCCTTTAAATAAAATTGAAGATGACAAAAAAAAAAGGCTCAATTGAAAATAAGTCAAGTTACCGAAACGATATTTGTCTCGATTTTGGAAACCAGCTTGTTCAATTCGAAGATAATCACTAATAGCAAGTGAATTTGAAAAAGGTATAGCTTCTTCTTGACCCAATTGCTAATCGTAAAAGTAACATTTTTTGACATTTAAAGAAAAAGAAAACGAACAAACTTTATATATTTCAACATTTGGAAAACCATGTTCAGAAATTGATTCTATAGTTGTAAATTGATACATATGATCATTTTGATTTCGACGTAATGGTTGTGTAGAATAGAATAAATATTCAAGTTTTGATTGAATTGATTTTGTTCTATAAGAAAAATTCAATAAAAATATTTGTTTTTTTTTGTTTGTTTTCTTTTTATTGTTTATACTTGATTGGATCATCATCATCTTCAAGAATAATATCTAGATTATGATCAAATTGTACTTTTTTTGGTCGATTAAATAATCGTGTTATACGATGTATTTTAATACCAGTTATATGATAACGACTATAGATTGATGAACAAAAACGTGAAAGAAGAAGTTCTTTGGCTGCATTAAACCTTAAAAAATAAGATTTAATTATAATCAAAGAAAAATATAATAATAAAGAGATTTAGTTTAGTTTATTTACCAAACATCATTAATATTTCCTTCTTCAAAACGAATATTTCCACCACTAATTAATTCTAATTGAATACGTGATGCAAGTTGAGCTTTTTGTTGAAGTAAAATAAAATGAGCAGTTTCATATTGAGCAACAAGACTAGATTACATAAACATAAAAAGAAAAAGATCAATAATCTATTACTTCAAATACTTGATGTATCAATAAAAGAAAAATTCTTAAATTTGAATACAAAAAAAAAAACAAACAAAATGAAGAATAAATCTTTTTAATTTGAAATATGCAATTAATATGAGTCTAATCTATGAAAAATTACTTGTTTAAAATATTTTGCCAAATAATCAATCGTTGTCGTAAAATTTCAATTTGTTTTTCAATTCGTTCACTTTCATTATGCTAAATAAGAACATAGAAAAATGTCTACCTTCCAAAAAATAAAAATAATAATAATAATAGTACTCACATCACCAGAAGCAGCACGCGTTTGATAATTTCGTTCTGGTAAATTTAATTCTTGTTTTAAACGTTGAATACATTTATTTAATAAACGTATATGTTCTTCAGGTATATGTTCATTTTTTTTTCTTAATTGTCGAAGACGTACTTGAAATTCATCATATTCCCGTTCTAATGTTTTAGATTTCATATGATACCACATTTTCTTTTTGGTTACTGTAGCCTAATAAAAAAAAAACAATTGTTTTTTGATAGATTTTTGTTTTGTAAACTTATGCTTAACTTACTTCAGCTTGTTCACCCACTTGTCTTGTAGTAATATGTAGTCCATCAATATATTCAAGTTGTGGTAAATGATATAAAATATGAACATGATAATTTGCCATAGAAGCTACAGGGTTTTTACCACCATAAACCGGATCACTAAAAGCAATATTGCGCAATTTTGGTAGCATTGTCAATATCGTAATATCCTTTAATAAATAATTTTATTTTCATTGAGAATATAAATTTTAATTTTAAAAGACAATATTTACTTGAAATGAACTTATTTTATTATCAGCAAGATTTAATACCTCAAGTTCAGTATTTTCAGCAAGTGATGTTCCTAAAAATCGATATTTTTTTTTATTAATGAAAAGAATAAAAATCGTACCAATAAATCTTATTTGATTTGAAGCAAGATTAAGCTCTTTTAAACGTTTTGAATTGGATAAACCCTTATATAATCAATAAAAAAAAAATATTATAAAAAGTAGTAGAAAAGAAAATGAATACTTCAATTTTGCTAATTAAATTTTCGTTAAGCCATAGATGTTCGAGTCGTTTTAATCCGTTGAGATTTTCGATTGTTTTTATTGCGTTGGCGTACAAATATAAACGTTGAAGTTGAGTACATCCACTAAGACCTTCGATTTGCTATAAAAAATAACAGTGATAATCTATATACGACCTTCGAATATATTAGCTTAAGCACACATAAAAATACTATTTTCCTTTGATTTGAAAATTTTTGTATATATATATCATATATTCTTTCGAAATATCATTTTATATGCATATAATGTTAATTCGTATTTAGTTGTGATCGTGACTCCTTTCCTGCTCGATTATATATATATATATATATATATATTCCTACGAAAGAATAAGGCGTACAGATACTCGTTCTTTTTTTTCTTCGATTAATGTCTTAGAACAAAATATGTTTGCAAACACACAATAAAAAACAGGTGCAAAGCCAAGGTATGTACATACTTGCAGCTTACATTCAGTAATCCAAAGTTCTTGTAAATTGGTACATGCGTCTAAACCTTCAATACGTTCAATAGTTTGATTAACAATAACGAGCTTAAGTAGATTTGGAAATGCTTTAAGACTTATCAGACGAGGTAAACCAGAGAAGAACATTTCAAGAATTTCAACATTTGGATCGAATCCACTATGATTACGCTGAAATGTTTCGTAATTAATTCCATTTGACTCACACTATGAAAACAAAATTAATTGAAAATTATTACTAAAGAAGTTTAAATAAAATTAATTGGTATATTCGAAATATGCACGAAAAAATTGACAGAAATTTAAACAATGATAATTAAAGCATTCTAGATTGACCAATATGAAGTTCATATACGCCTATATAAACCACTACGTACTTTCCGTATTTATTCGTCTACGACAATATTTTACCGTATTGCATGGCTTAGTCTTACGATCATATATCTTTGTGACATCATACGGAATAATATGATTATATAGGAAGAAAAACGGAATAGAGCGAAGACTGCATACGACCTCCGTGTCAGAGGAAGATAAGCGAAGTTTTTTCGCCGTAAAGCACTATTTTTCTCGGTATACGATGCGGAAATATATAATCGTAATACTCATCCCTGCGTATCGTCATATTTTTTTTTTATATACGATCGTTTACGACTGTGTTTACTTAACCCAGGATATTTCAAATAAAAACACACATTGTTAGTACTATACAACTATTCTCAATATGATACACTTGAAACTTATTAGATATTTCGATCCTTATTCTATTATTATCAATAAAGCATAGCAAAAAAAACCGGAGGAGACTAGTGTTTATGATGGAAATAGAAGAATATACTCGATATTTCTCGTGTTAATATGTACACATATATAAAAAAACGAGACATCGAATATATTCTTTAGTGGTCATTATAAACACCAGCTTCTTCTCAATTTTTGTGTTATATGTTTCATTGATAGTGATCGAATAAAGATAGAAATAGCTGATAAATCTTAAGTATATTATTTTGAAAAAAACTGTATATTATTAACAATTGTTTTAAATATATAAATATCGAGTATTTAAATAAGGAGCGATGTTTACCAATTAACGCAAAAAACATTGAAGAATTAAACAAATAGTGTAGTAAAAAAAATAGAATTGCATACTCATATCTCCTTCTCGTTTCTACTATGGTAAAAGTTAGTATTTTGAAAACTTACCAATTCTTTGAATATATTTTCGTCTTCAACAGCTTTCATATCTTTTACATATTAAGTCGAAAAGCTTTGTTTGACATACGTTTGTATTTGGCTGAGAAATGAACTTTTTTTTTTATTCCTCTTTCTTCCATGATCCATCCTATAATTTTTTTCTCATTATGTTGCCTAGTAATATCGTTTTATGTTTATCGTTTGTATCACCTATGCACTTTAATAGTAATTGAATTTTTATATTATTTCTTGAAAAAATTCATTGATCATTTTTGTATTAATATTTAAATGTTTAAAAAAACTGATAATTACTTGAGACAAGACCTAGTATTATTGTGATTCGGTAATTATTTTTTCTCTCCCTCTATCGATACGATGTCACTGTTTAACTGACGATTGAAAAGATTTAAGAAAGAGTTCAATACTAATTTAATTAAGAATTTCTTTAAATACAAATTCAAAAGCAAGAGTCAAAAATTCATGGTAACATTGACTTTTTTATATTCAAATTATACAGGCAAGGTTAGTGACATTAAATGTTTCCAATCCATCATCCTTAATGGATAGAGAACAATTAAAATGAACCGTCTTCCTATTCTTCTATTCTTTATGTAATAATAGTGGGCGCTCAAGCATGACACGGATATATTTATGTTACATTTTAAAAAGAAAGAAAATTATGGTGAATAATGGAGTAATAAGAAAAAAAGCCATCTTAAATAAATAAATTTCATTTTGAATCTGTAATTAATAAATAATATCTTAGTAAACTTTTATGAAAAAAAAAATTATTCAATTTTACTTAGGCATAATGGATCTTTCGGACGATCAAAATGATAAATCCGATTCAACAGTTAACAGTAGAACACATAGTATTATTGTAGATCGTCCAATTATAACACAAAAATCATTTAATCAAGTATTTATTCCAACAACATATGAAGATCGAACACCGGTTATTTTATTTCATCAACTGCGTACATATATACGAAATAAATGTATACCTTCAAAACAATGTGGTAAATCGTATATAAAAATACTTTTCCCGTTTCTATCATGGTTAAAAATTTATCAAATTCGTTGGTTAGTACATGATGTTGTTTGTGGAATTACGGTATTATTTTATCTTGATTACATATTAAAATTCATTTGTATATATTGCTAAGATTGCCATCATGCAAATTCCACAAGGAATGGGTTATGCTTTATTAGCTCGTTTACCGGCAATTACTGGTAACTGCTGTTATTTATAAAATTGTATACAAAATAAATTTTGTCGTTGTAGGTTTGTATGCATCATTTTTTGCGTCACTAATTTATGCTTTGTTGGGTACATCGAGACATTTATCAATGGGTTAGAATATAATTTCTTTTTTGTTTTTCGATAGGATAACAGAAGATATATATAATTTTAGGTGGTGTCGCAGTTACTAGCTTAATGACAAGCAATGTTGTCGATCGTCTCAGTGTAAAACCGACATTATCAACAATTATTCCAAATTTATTCAATCAGAGTACAATAGAAATAGCGTCAAATGACGCTTTAATTGATCCATCATATGCTATTACTATTGCAACTACTCTAGCATTTATGGTTGGAATTACTCAAGTAGTTTCATTAGAAAAAGAATAACTAATTTATAATATTCAATATTCTCTTTATTTATAGTTACTTTTATGTATTTTTCATTTGGGTTTTGTTACTTCATTTCTTTCTGATTCATTTATTAGCGGTTATACAACTGGTACTGCTATACTAGTATTTACTTCTCAACTACCAGATATTCTTGGTTTATCACTTAAACGATATGTTGGACCATTCAATATTATTTATGTAAGAATTAATTGATTTTCTTTTTTTTTTTTTTTATTAATTATTTTGTTTATGTTTTAATTGTTTAGTCATATATTGAAATATTTACTAATCTTAAAAATATTAATTTGGTTACATTAACTATATCTACATTTTCAATAACAACTCTTATTATTGTTAAAGAATATCTTGATCCATTTTATAAGAAAAAAATTAAAAAATTCGAACTTTTTCGAAATATACAAATACCTATTCCCATTGAATTGATTGTCGTATGTAAATAAGAAATGAGAAGCAATCATTTCATGCTTTTTCTTTCTATTTTTATAGATCATTGTCGGTACATTAGTTTCATATGTATTTGATTTCAATGGTCGTTATAAAGTTAAAATTGTTAATACAATTGGTCATGGGTAAATTTGACAAAGAATTCTTTTGCATATATATTTTTTCTTTTTGATTGTTTATTAGTTTTCGTACGCCACAAGGTCCAGCATTAGTACTTGTGCCTAGTTTAATTAAGGATGCAATTATGATTGCTATTGTTGCATTTTCTATTAGCATTTCATTAGCAAAAACCTATGCAAAAAAATTTAAATATTTTGTTAATCCTAATCAAGAATTAGCTGCTTATGGAGCATGTAATGTAAGTGATTAATAAAAGACGTAGAAAAACAAATTGATCGTTGTATTTTATCTTAGATAATTGGCTCATTTTTTGCATCGTATGCAACTGCTGCTTCATTATCTCGTACAAGTGTTTATGTTAATGCTGGTGGTCGAACACAAGTATTAAACATTCTTGTTTTTTTTTGTTATATATATTTTTTGTTTATAATAGTTGGCTAATCTAATCTCATGTGCTACCTTACTGATCATTATTCTGAACATCGGATCATTGTTTGAATCATTACCTAAAGTAAGTAACTGATAATCACTTGTAAATATATAGAAGAAATTAATATGATTATTATTATTTTTTTGTTTTTAGGCATGCTTAGCATCAATAATTATTATTGCAATAAAAGGTTTATTATTACAAACAAAAGATATTTATACAATTGGTCGTGTAACAAAACTTGAAGCAGTAAATAGAAAATAAAACTATTTAAAATTATTTAGATTGTTTAGGTTGTTTGGATTGTGACTTGTTTAAATACTGTTATACTTGATGTTGATTATGGTCTATTTTCTGGTATTATTGTATCACTTGTTGTTGTTATTCTTCGACAATTTCGGTCTGATCTGTTCTTTCTTTCATCTCTCATATTAAATTCTTTATTTTAGACCTCGTACAACAATTCTCGGTCAATATGAACGTAGTGAAGTGTATAAAAATGCAAAACGTTTTACAAATGTAACAAAAAAAACCAACAACAAGACTTTATCTTTTAAACATATTTTCTTCTTTCATTTAAGGTTCATGAAATTCCTCACATAAAAATTTTTCGTTTTGAATCTCCAATTATATATTTTAATGCAGAGTATTTTCGTGAAAGTCTTTTAGATGCAGTTGGTATTGATTCAAATACTGGTCAAAAACGAAATATTCATTCTAAACAATCACATGGCCATTATTTTAATCTTTATAAATTAACACATATTATTATTGATTGTTCATCAATCAATCAACTTGATTATAGTGGTGGAAAAATCTTTCTACAAGCAATAAAAGAACTTAATGATTGTAAATACAAAGTTTATTTATGTCATTTAAGATGTAAATAATTGACCAAAGAAATAAAAACCAAAGAAACATTTTTGATAATTTTTAGATTATAATTATGATGTTTTAGAAAAACTTGAGATGGATAAGATATGTTCAGTAATTGTTATGGCTACTGTTCATGATGCTGTTCATAATATTCAAGATGAATTAATGGAAAATAGTGATCAAGTAAGTATAAAAAAGAATGTTTTTGGTCTTTTTATTTATAAAAAAAAAAAAAAAAAACTTTTAGTTATCATTAGCCAATGTAGAACTCTAATAAAAGTAATATTGTTCTTAATATGCTAACGTTTTGTTTGGTTGCTTTTTAACATTGTTAATATTGATGTTTGATAAATAAAAAAAAACGTTAATTATTTTGTTTTTATTTAGGAACAACAAATTCGTAATAATATTTCGTCAATTATGATGGTAAAATAAAATGAAATTTTCTTTTTTAAATTTTTGTTTTGTTTTGAATAGAATGAAATATTGTCGATCAGGCTTTAATTTTATCAATGAAAAAACATTCTGTTTTTCCTTTCTAATTTTCATTGAAATAAATAAAATAAATGATATTTTGGAGTATAAGTTTATCATTGTTTTGTATATTTCTTGCAATTACTTTTTCGTTATAGAATAAGAATGCATGAATTTGTTTAATACATATGTTGAATAATCTCTTGATGTTGTTTCATATTTACTTAAAGAAACAATTAATGTAAAAATTGAAAATCGTAGAACAAAAGCAATAGGTTATTATGATTATTATGTTGAATGATAATATATCATTGGCATTGATTATGTCGGAGCAGTTGCAAGTTTATTTAATTGAACGTTAATCTAATGGAATATCAACTTTTTTGATTGATTAAGCAAAAGAAGCATTCTGAGTAGAATTTCACCCTCTATTGAACTTTCATACAGCATCGTACAAACCTGCAGGGATCGTATGCTACGCCGTCCGATGATGTGAGGTATCCTAAAAGAACACTCAAGAAATGTGTTCAAAGAGAACGATGTGTCTGTGAGTGATAATGTAGGGGTCCTGAAAAGCTCGGAACTACAACTCTTTGATTGAATATTTTGGATATGTGTTAGTTTTATGAAATAAAGAATGCTTTAAATGAGATGTTCATTTTATTACAGCAAATTCGAATATTTGTTCATTATCAAAAATTACGTGAGTGAAGCGTAGATGTTTACTATTTAATCTCAGCACAGGAAAGTCCTGAGTTTAAATTCTTTATAAGTTTTCTTAATTGTATAGCAAAAATCTGATGTTATATGCTGTTCAATTACATATTAGTAGTGTCATTCATTAGATTATTAATTTCAAGTTCATTATTTCATTTTGTTTTTTAATTCAAGAGCAAAAACAAATCTTGATTTTGCAAAAGATCATCGTCCTAATCAACGTAGAAAACTTGAAATAGAAGTTGTTTATGTAAATGTTCTTCATATATATCTCACAGAAACTATTTAAGTTGAAGGATAATTGGTTTTATATAAAACTAATGCTTAGTATTATTCATGATATCTAACTGGAGCACAAAAAACTCTCATAATATTACTAACAAATTATGCTGATTCGTATGCACAATCACCAAAACTTGCTATTAAAAATGATCAAATAATAACGTTTCATTCATATGAAAATCTCGCGTCATTTTCTCGACGTGACACATCATTACATTATGAATATAGGAATCTATTTTTAACTGTTAATAATTTAAAACATTGGATTAAATTATCACAATAGGAAAATATTGCTGTTGCAGAAATAATTGATATGTATCACAGTAATTCTAATTAAAAAAGATTCTTTTTCAAGACTTGATTTCCAATGACGATAAGATCGTTATTTGGCTGTTAAATCATTTAAAGTAAAGTATTTATTTAAAGATAAAGACATCCTTTTTTTTTGATTATTTATTTTCTTGTTAGACATCATTACCTGCATCTGCTCGTGACATTCATTATTGTGATGACATTAGTAATATTTCAACAAGTCATGTACAAGAAATGCGACATCAAGACGAAGTTGAGATTTGTCGAAATCTTCCCTTATATGGTAGTTGTGAAACTCAACTATATACTTGGTTATAATATTCCATTATATACATATCTTTTTAATTAAAAGAGAACATTTATATAGAATAAAACTATGTAAGATAAGAATATTTAAAGCTTCATAATTTTAAAAAGTTTATATAGAGGATTGTGTTACTGATCTAGTTTTCAAAAAATCATAAACGAATCCTTTTCATATCAAACAAAACAATGGTTTCATTTTAAAGGTGATCAATATCTACTTAAAATATATCTGGTCAATCATATTTATAATGACCAATTATTTGAACAAGTTACTATAAAAATTGTTTTATTCGAACATGCACATAATATTGAATTTTTATCTCCCATCTTATGATGCGAATATACAATGCTTACTCAATGAAAAACATTATGCATATTTAGATACAGTTCATCTTCATGTGTATACTTATTGGTAGGGATATACGGCTCACCCTCACGCTCACGCATATGGTGATCATGAGAGGTAGGCGCTCATACTCATATGAGCGCTGATGAGCGTGAGCAAATATACTCTTGGGTCCTCATATCGTATTATATGAAGATACCCTTAGGTCCTCATCTTCCATTATTTGAAGATACCCTTGGATTCTCATGTTCTATTATATGGAGACACTCTTGGATCCTCATGTCTTATTATTTGAAGATATCCTTAAGTCCTCATGTCCTATTATGTGGAGATGTCCTCCGGTCCTCGGGTCCTATTATATAAGGATACTAATAGGTCAGCAGAAGAATGTAACAATGCTAATACTTCCAATATTAATAACAAATGCTATTCGTAGTATTAGTATTGTTAGTTTGCAAAGGAAAATCAAACTTGAAAATTCCGAAAAACTAATGATAGTTTCGGATTTCTCGACTTCATCAAACTTTGACCAAACTTTATAAAAAAACCCTTACTTCCGGAAATGTTATAACCTCAGTTTCTATCTTATTGTTCACAATTCCCTGAGCACCATTATTATATTTGGACACCTTTCGTTCTGAAAAGGTGCCGAGGTACTTACAAGGTGTTGAAAAGGTGCTAAGGTACTGTCGGCTCTAAACTTGCACTTTCCCCCTTGCCTAAGGGTGTCCTCAAAAAACAGAAGATGAGGATCTAATGGTATCTTCAAATAATAAGACATGAGGACCCAAGAGTATCTCCATATAATAGGACTTGAGTACCCATGGGTATCTTCAAATAGTAGGAGATGAGTACCAATGGGTATCTTCGCTCACACGCATGAGTGTGAACGTGAGTTGTACATCCCTATTTATTGGTTTAATTTCACCGGTGACAAATTATGTTGTTTTTAAAACTGAAAATTGGTATATTAAAATTAATTAGTCATAAATTCATTTTTTTTCTTGTGAAAATATTTATAGAATATCAAGTAAAGATGCTAAATAAATAAGATGATGTGAACGTATAGCTCACCTTGAAGCATATATATTTAACATATGTGAATCAAATTCAAAAATGCTTAAAGAATAATGAATGACGGTATCATCTAATATTTATTATTTGAAATTTATTTGAAATTTAGTTTTTCAGGTTTAATGGGTAGTGGTGATGTATCTCTAGCTGGTTGTTTTTCTGTGGTCAACATAGAATAATATTCCTCTTTTATTTATCAACTCAGATCAAAATCATCCGGGTCGGATCTGACACTATCCGACAGTCGGAATCCGATCGGGTGTGGGTATAGATGTGAGTAGGTGTGCATGTGCACACTGAACTCAACAACTCACACCTATACCTCCACGTCCGCATCCACTTCATTTTTAATTTAATAGATAAAATTATCTTTTTTTCAGGAGAATTAAATAAAAACAAATAGCAGGAGCAGATTATAGAATTCAATCTGATGTCAAAACAAGAGGATAATTCGAAAAGAAATGATTAGATAAAAAGTTTTTTTTTTTATCAGCATGATGAAATGGTCGGCAATGCTAATAATACAACATACGATGATAGCAGCCCAGGTGAAACAATCCGACTATAAGTTCTTGTACGATTCTTTCAAGTTCATATAGGAACATACTGTATAATCTTACATGAACATACAAGATCTTATGAAAATCGTATGCGATCTTGTACGATTTCATATGACAATCGTAAAGTCATCACCCAAGTTAAAAAATCAGACATAAGGTCTTATAAGACCAGGTGAAATCGTACAAAAAAATCGTGGTCTCAGAAATCTTATATCAAACTGCACTGTAAGATTCTTGTAAGATCTTACCGTGGTATAAGATTTTCTATAATCTTGCAGTGATATCTTACAAAATCGTAAGATCTTTCAAGAATCTTAAGGTACGACTTGGTGTAAGATATCTGAGACCACGACTTTTCGTCTGATCTTATAAGATCATTCAAGGTCAGATGCAAAATCTTGTCAGACCTTAGTGTCTGATTGTTTGATCTGAGCATTTCTGATGAAATCGTACTGTACGATTCTTGTATAATCTTTATGTCAGATAGTACAAGATCTTAAGTGATCCATGCATGATTTTTCAAAGCTTCATAGAGCATTGTATAGCTGATTTGACCCATTTCTGACTTCTGTAATATTTGAGATTTTCAACATTGTATTTGATCTATAGTAACGCATATGGGTGTTTCCATGGGATGTCGCTAGGACCATGCGGCGACCACGTTCAAATTCAGTGAAACTTTCAGAGTTTGTAGAGTTTTTTGTGCTAATCATTTTGGTTATAAAATTTTTATATTTGGTCGCTATTTTTAGAGAAATACGGGTCAAATACTATTGATGCATTTTATGTTTTTTTCAATCAATTCATGTCATATTTTTATCGAAAAACCGATCATAGTTCACGATTATCCATTTGGATTTTAAAACCAATTACATATTTGGATTCCTCTCGAAAAACTGCACCAGAATCCTTAGGAATCTAAAAACTTTTCACGCATTTTTATACTGCCTACTGATTCACAATGTAGAGAAACAGTCTATGAAAAATTCGATCAGAAAGTTGGAATAAACGCGAATAGTGGCCTTACCAGTTCAATAAAGCAAAACTTGCTCTACAACATCCACTAATTAGTTTTCTCCCCGACCTTTGTTATGAAACAGAGACCGAAACGGGGCGAGGAATCGAGGCGGAGGCGAGGAATCGAGGCGGAGACGAGGAGAGAATTTGCGTGGAATAGCGGGGCGAGGTGGTGGCGGGGAGACAAAAAAACCTAGGTCGGGGCGGGGACGGGGCAGGTCAGAATGAAGTAGATTCCTGGAAAACTTTCTTGTTCTTCAGTTTCACATTCAAAATTTGTATATGCATTAAGGAAGAGTCGATGAAAGTCGAGGCGGGGCGGAGCGAGGAGTGAAAAATCCGCCCCGTTTCGGCCTCTGGTACGGATAAGTAGATAAGGCTAATTGTGTTCATGTAGAGGTCACTATGAAATTCTTCGTATGAAACCTTATTTTTAATTTGATGAAAAAGGTTTTGCGGGAAACCTTTCCTATGAAACCTTTTCTACAGCAATCCAGAAGAGGTTCGATACGAAACCTTTTTTGTTTAGAGTGTACAGTTATGTTTACAGGTACAAGTTCTACAAACTCTGAAAGTTTCATTCCATTCGCATGAAGTCGATGTAATTGTGATGCACTCTCAAAAGAATACTCCATTTGTTCACATATACGGTACTTTATCATGGACAAATATAACTTCATTCAAGTCTACAATATTGTCGTCATTTTTTAAGGAAAGAAATACGTTTTTGAATCAAAATTATGTCACGAAGATATTGATCAGTCCAAGATTCGCCTTCCTTTTTTATCATCCATTATAATTTCTTGACAGTAACAATAACGAAAATCTCAATATATGCTTGATTTTTAACTATTTCACGGTATCTTTCATCTTCTCCGGTATCTTCGATACTTCTTGCCAAAATTCGATCATTCTGATAATTTGGTGTGCGAAGGACGTGTAAATAAAACTCATCAGATGGTGCGAGATGAAGGAAGTCCTCTTCGGTCTAGTCTTTCAACCACTCATGCAGCTATAATCGCTCTAAAATAAGACTCTCCGATTTTAACGGTATAGAATAACATGAAACATCCTTAGTCCTTCTCTATGATGGTAATGATTCATTGAATAATGCACATTTACCTCGAACTTTGTCTTATGAATAATTGTTTTCATACTTATAGTCGGTAAAATATTATAAAATTTGAGAGTTCGACATACGAAAGTCTTCATAACTCTCATTGTTTAATACCAATAAATCAAGTTTTCGACGAACTTTTATTTTATATAAAATTTATTGTTTACTGTATTTGAAATTATAGTGATTCTTCACCAGGACAAATATTATTTCATACCTAGTATATAGCCTATGATGAATTTATTATTATTTAAATTATCTGAAATGAATTTATATTGATTGTATTAATAAAATTTATTCTTTCTTTCGTTATAGGCTCGTTTTCTTACATCTAGACTAATTCGGAACGTATGATTAAATGTGAATAAAGAAAATAGATAGAAAGAATTTTACTTCGAAAAAATTCATTTGACATATGATTTTTAATCCAATAACCAACTTGTAATTTTTGATACAAAGTAAACAGAAGAAAACAATATTAGCATTATTAGATACACTTGTATTATATATCACACTTGATTTATTGATCAATAGTCCAATATTACTTGAATAATAAACGATATAAATGTACAGAACTATTATATAAAACTTCATCAGATAGATGATTTTTTATTCACTCTCAAAGTTACAATGTTTACTTTAAAGCAAGTAAAGGAAAGGAAAACAAAAATATATGTAAGTGTACATAAATAGTAAAATATTATACTGTTCAATTTTAAATTCGTGGTTTCGCTGTGAATCAATATTATCGATCATATTAATTGACTTTTTTAGTTGAAAAATTACTTTCTGTTGAGTTTTTCAAGAGTGTTTGAATATTTTTCTTTTGTTTTACAATAATATTCGAATTCTAAAAAGCATACCGTAAGACTTTACTCATGGTAGAGATGATCAATAT